CCCATAGCTCAAGGTAAGTCCTACCCCCTACTAGTTTTACACAGGTGGGTACAGGAGCAGACGACTGCTGACTCCTGTTAGCAGGCTGAGAGTGTTCCCTTCCCATAGCTTATGGTAAGCCTTACCCTACTAGTTTTACACACAGGAGGGTACAGGAACAGACGACTGCTGACTCCTGTTAGCAGGCTGAGAGCTGTCCTTCCTATAGCTCATGGTAAGTCCTACCCCCTACTAGTTTTACACAGGTGGGTACAGGAGCAGACGACTGCTGACTCCTGTTAGCAGGCTGAGAGTGTTCCCTTCCCATAGCTTATGGTAAGCCTTGCCCTACTAGTTTTACACACAGGAGGGTACAGGAACAGACGACTGCTGACTCCTGTTAGCAGGCTGAGAGCTTTCCCTTCCCATAGCTCAAGGTAAGTAACCACTAGTTTACCCCAGGCATTCGACCCGCCACTCGTTTAACAACCAGGTACCCAATTACTACTGAGAAAACAGAGACGTACAGTTAGGAATTGGCGCCTAAATCAATCCTCCTCTACCAGGATACGAACATAAGCCAAATCGCTCGTGAAGCGCGGGGCGAATGTGTTACCACTGCGCCACCATTGAGACTTCCCAAGGAAGGCTTCTAATTAGCAGGAGTCTCTTCCGTCCTCGGTCCCAACATGCTGAAGGAAACCAATATCCATTCTATAGCACAGCGATCTAACCCATACTAATCTAAATGGGGCACAACACGACCAAGATAAAGTTGCAGCGATAATTAAGGTATATTTTCCGTTTGCAAGAACTGAAGACCTAATAGCTAAAATGAGCAATTGTCAGGCAACTGGTTCAAGCCCAATGTCTGCCAACAATATAGAAACAATATTTGTCTATGGAGAACCAAGAAGCTGTTGGATAACTATATAAAAGCCATAGAAAATCATTAATGACAGCAGTTCCAGCAGGAGATACAATAGCAGCAAATTCACTTGAACTTACTGATATAGAACGATGATATAGTTAATAAAAAATTAGAAAAAATCCAACATTACGTAAGCTTCATTTATAATCTCTTAAAATACGAGTAGTAAAGAAAGTCAAGACTCCAGTAAACAAATAGATAAAAAGGTTATAACAATGGTGGCTATGTTTAGGGGTACCAATTATCTCAACACAAAAGAATGGATACAAATTGGTTATGATGCGATTTATAATAGACCTGGGTAAATACAGGTTTTGGAATAGGGTTGTAGATTTATGGGACAAATTGCCGGGTAACATAATAGACGTGGGATTGCTAGAATGTTGCAAGCGAAGGTTCGACATATACAGGAGTGAGTTTGGTCAGGTATTAATAGGAGCTGCCTCGTGTTAGCCCAATAGGCTTCGGTAGTTTCCTCTGTTCTTGTATTACTTTTTTTTTTGTTTTGTTTTGATTCTGCTGCTGATATTGTTGTTGTTGCTTGTGCTGTTGTGTTTGCTGTGCATTTTGCTGTGGCTGCTGATTGTATTAATGATGTCTTTGATATTAATGTTGTTACTGCTACTTAGTTCTCCTACTGCTGGTAGTCCTGTTGCAGCTGTTGCTGCTCCTGCTGCTGCTGCTGCTGGTCCACCGTTGATAGTTTTGCTTTTAATGGTGGTATTTATGCAGCTGTAGCTTTTCTCTTTTTTTGTTTTTGTTGATGTTAGTAGAAGTGCTGCTGCTGCTGCTACTGTTGAGGCTGTTTCTGTTGTTGCTGCTCTACTGCTGTTACGTATATCGTTGCTACTCTGATTATCGAGGCTGCTCCTTCTCTCATTTTCCCTCGTATTCGATTTCTCTTCGGCACTCATTGTCGATCAGTTTGCCTTCCCCTCTGCTTGACTTCTCCTCTGCTTCATTACCCCTCTCCTTGCCTCCCTTTCTAATTATCTTCCCTTTCTCCACCTAGAAATTCCCCTCTCGTCGTCCTGTTTCCCCCCTTCACCTCCCTTTATACCTCAAACGTCCCTTCAATGCCCCTTCTTCGGCCTTTCCCACGGTCTTCTACTATGCTTCCTACCCATTTGGCTTTCCCCAATCCATCGGCCTTTTTCTGGGTCTTCTTCCCTTACCCCTTTGCACTCGACCTCTCTCTTAGAATAACAGGGAGACCTACCCATTGGTCTCCCTGTTTTCGCCTGGGTCTTTCCCCCTTACCATTCAGCCCCCCTTACTAGCCCTTCCTCTCGTATGTTGACTGGTGGTTGATCACTTAATTTCCTCGACGCTCTATCAAGAAGACTGGCCCGATAGTGGGCCTTTGTGCTGTCCTGACTGAACGAGAAAGGCTTAAAATAAGACTTATATTTCACCAAGATGAAGCACGTTGGACGTCGTGCTTCACCCTGGTGAAAAGCCATTTAACCATTACCCCAGGCATTATAATATCTCACTCCTGGAAAATTAAAACCCTTTCATGCACACTGGTAACGTTGTTAATAACGCAGCTCGTCTCAGTGTCACATATTCCACATGAATACTAAGAGTGTTTACGACAGATAAATGTGATAACGTACTGGATACGCTAACGTGTTTGGAGCACCAGGCTATCTAAGGTTCGAATCCTTCACGAGGTTCAGTTCTTTAGTTATATATATAGAGGGATTTCAGTCTGGTGTTGACAACGGCTTTAACAGGCCGAAACGTTCATCTCTCTTCCCTATTTCTTTGTGGTTTTTCCGCATACAAATGGTAAGTGTTTAGTGATCGTCAATTGCATATATATATATATATATATATATATATATATTATATATATATATATATATATATATATATATATATATATATATATATATATATATATATTATTAAATATGACCGAAAAAGTAAGATTAATAATTCTAACACGAATTTTCTCAATCTTTCGTACATTTCTTTTCACTGTTGGAGGTAAATCAAAAATCAATTCTCCAAAATTCATTTTTATTTCTAGTCTGACGCGACACGAGCGCGTTTCGTAAAACTTATTACATTTTCAAAGACTTTAGTCTTTGAAAATCTCATGAGAAACTCTTCTCTCATGAGAAACTCTCCAGACACAAAACAGAACGCTTTAAAAGAGACTAACGTCGTCTATGCTTTCAAATGCCCTCTTGGGGACTGTAAGCTCCAAAAAACCAGTATATAGGCAAGACAACAACATCTCTTTCTAGGCGTTTAACGATGCATAAGCAACAGGGCTCCATTAAGGAACATATAATCTCTTCCCACAACCAAACCATCGCCAGAGAAATCCTAGTAAACAACACAGAAATCATCGATAGATACAGAGATAGCAGGCGGCTTGACGTTTGCGAGGCACTACACATCAACAAGTCAACACCAGCAATCAACAGCCAATTATTGCACAACTATATTCTACCCACCTCAAGACTCCGCTCCAATATAGAAGCATCAAGAAATATGGACCAATAGGCTTTCTACAAACACTTCTATTCAATATCCATTGTTTCGTGTTCTGTCTTGTGTTGATGAAATTAATACCCTATTAATACCACATCTTGTTCTGTCTTGTGTTAATGCCACATCACCCCTTCCACCTCACTCAAATGTAGATATAAAATCGGAGATGCGTAAGTTCTATTCAGTTGTGTATTTGTGAACTAAAGTCTTTGAAAATGTAATAAGTTTTACGTTTCGCGCTCGTGTCGCGTCAGACTAGAAATAAAAATGAATTTTGGAGAATTGATTTTTGAGTTACCTCCAACAGTGAAGCGAAATGTACGAAAGATTGAGAAAATTCGTGTTAGAATTATTAATCTTACTTTTCGGTCATATTTAATAATATATATATATATATATATATATATATATATATATATATATATATATATATATATATATATATATATATATATATATACAGTATACATTATATATATATATTATAATGATGCCATCACTTTTGGTTCCAAGAGCAAAGGGACAGTAATGGAACAGTTGTCTGGTTTAATGACCAGTCTGGCGTGATAGTAACAAGGAAGGGCCACAATGGGATTTGTAGTGGCGTTCAGGCGTCATAAATTACCCCCTGTGAGTGTCATTCATCTCAAGCATATTATTAGTCTAAATCTCCTTGGTGATATATGCTCTCATTATAACTTTTAACGACCTTTATTGCAGCAATCTTCTGTTTTATTTATTTATCATTACGCTTGTATTAAAAAAGTTGGGCAAACGTGAAGCTAGCAAGAGGGAGAATGGGGGGGGGTTGCGCCCCTCACAGGGAGGTGTTGGAGGTGATGGGTCTGGTAGCGTGATGGAAACTCGTTACAAAAACGCCTGTGATCATATAGCAATGACGTTTTGTTGTTGGTGTTAATGGGAGGGAGGACAGGAGGTAGAAGGGGAGGGTGGGAAGGAATGAGGAAGGGTGAGGAAAATCTGATGGAGGGAGGAATACATATATAAAGGGAGAGAAAAGGAGATAAGCACAAAAAGCTGGATAAAGAGAGATGGGAGATAATGTGAGAGAACTGGTGGTAGGATGAAAGGTGGATATAGCATTAGGAAGCTAAGAACAGACATTATATCAGTGATAAATAATAACATAGGATAGACGAATGGACAGAGTGGAATAATATAAGAGGAATAACCTGAGAGACACATAACGATTAGAGAAAATAAATATATATATATATACATATTGAAATATATAGAGAGAAAGAGAGCCAAGGTTAAGGGAGAAAAGAAATATTGAGAAAAACACATATTTACTCAATCCATTTACTATTTTTCTCGCCTATTGCGTTACCTGAGCAGCAAGACGACCTCTGAGACTTAGTAACACGAGTCACGACCCTTGAGCGACGACACCAAGACGCCAGGCTGGCGAGGTGAGTCTGTGAACGACGACACCAAGACGCCAGGCTGGCGAGGTGAGTCTGTGAACGACGACACCAAGACGCCAGGCCGGCGAGGTGAGTCTATGAGCGTCGACACCAAGACGCCAGGCCGGCGAGGTGAGTCTATGAGCGACGACACCATGACGCCAGGCCGGCAAGGTGAGTGTATGAGCGACGACACCAAGACGCCAGGCCGGCGAGGTGAGTCTGTAAGCGTCGACACCAAGACGCGAGGCCGGCGAGGTGAGTCTGTAAGCGTCGACACCAAGACGCGAGGCCGGCGAGGTGAGTCTGTAAGCGTCGACACCAAGACGCGAGGCCGGCGAGGTGAGTCTGTAAGCGACGACACCAAGACGCCAGGCTGGCGAGGTGAGTCTGTGAGCGACGACACCAAGACGCCAGGCCGGCGAGGTGAGTGTATGAGCGACGACACCAAGACGCCAGGCCGGCGAGGTGAGTGTATGAGCGTCGACACCAAGACGCCAGGCCGGCGAGGTGAGTGTATGAGCGTCGACACCAAGAGGCCAGGCCGGCGAGGTGAGTCTCGGAGCGTCGACACCAAGACGCCAGGCCGGCGAGGTGAGTGTATGAGCGTCGACACCAAGACGCCAGGCCGACGAGGTGAGTGTATGAGCGTCGACACCATGACGCCAGGCCGGCGAGGTGAGTCTGTAAGCGACGACACCAAGACGCCAGGCCGGCGAGGTGAGTGTATGAGCGACGACACCAAGACGCCAGGCCGGCGAGGTGAGTCTCTGAGCGTCGACACCAAGACGCCAGGCTGGCGAGGTTGAGCCTTCACCGTCTCCCAAAACTTGCTTAATGAGCGTCAAGTTTCTGGCCACTTTGTGAAGTCTGTGTTTCTGGTTACAGTTCTAATGTTGGGGGTCATGTCGTCTACCTGTCTTCTCCTTATCTCTTATTATCTTCTCATCTCTCTTCTCATCTCCTTTGGTTTCCATCTTAGTTCTTGTTATATATTTTCGATATTTGTCTTCATTATTTATTTATTCTTATATTTCTTTCATTTCTTGAACTTTTGGAATTATTATTTTCTTTCCTATGCAAGGTTGACCCTTGGGCTCACCTTGTGTTTAATATTTCACACACAGCTTCCAGCCACACTACCGCATGCATTGTTCAGTCACCTCACCTTAATGCTAAATTAGATTATCCCGTATTAAAAGTGCGTTTCTCTGAACACTACAATTGCATTATCCCGCTCTAAAATGTTTCAAAAATGCCTTTCTCGGTTTGCTAGGGGTAAAGAGGCGGGAGAATTATTGGAGGGAAGGTGGGTAAGGAAGGGGAAGGGTAAGGGGAAGGGGCGAGAGGGGAAGAGGATGGGGAGGGGGTAATAGGGAAATGGAGATTTTCTGTTAAATTTAGCACAGCAAATTAATACCGAAATTTACAATTGTCGCCTCTCCGCTTCGATGACAACAAAACAGATCGTCATCAGGTGATATTTGTTGTATTTCCATGGCCAGTTTATTCCCCTAACGAGCCGAGCATTAACGTTTCGCAGATGCGGAGAGGTAGTACGTGTGTGATGGCGCTCCACTGGGCACTTAATGGAGCATAAAATGAATCAACGGTACAGTGGACGGCTCAGGTTAATGGTTCGCTGGTGAATCATTGTGTAGTGTGTGTGTGTGTGTGTGTGTGTGTGTGTGTGTGTGTGTGTGTGTGTGTGTGTGTGTGTGTGTGTGTGTGTGTGTGTGTGTGTGTGTGTGTGTGTGTGTGTGTGTGTGTGTGTGTGTGTGTGTGTGTGTGTGTGTGTGTGTGTGTGTGTGTGTGTGTGTGGGTGTGTGTGTGTGTGTGGTTTTCTCCGGTGAATCATAGCGTTGGCTGTAATAGCCGCTTGCTGAGGTGAATCGTTAGACTGTCATAGTGCCTTGAGAAAGACAGTGAATTGTTCCACAGTAAATCATGGCACTGTGTGTGTGTGTGTTGGGGGGTGGTAGAGGCACTGTAGTAGCCATGAATCACATAGCGTTGTCTCTTTTAGTCCCTGATTAGAAGGGAGCGTTGAAGCATCAGGGTGCCCAGTCAGCCCCTATAAACATTGCGTTGAATCAGAGGTGAGGATTGATGAAAGTCTTATCACTGCTTCGTGGTATCACGTATGGAAGTTTATTGATTTGCAAGAAGAAACAATGAGATGTGAAAACATATATATTGGTGACGACGTGGGACATTGCACAGTATTTCGGATAATTAAGTGCTACTCATCTGTAGGTGCCAATCAGAATGGACACCATTTGATTATTTGAGTAACGATTGGTGGTTCATTATTCGTCAATAAAGTCTGCTTTGCTGACGATGATGTTGGTTGTTCAACTATGGGTCTGGTTTGACTAGGAGCCGAACCTTAGATTATTTCTGAACCGAATCATAGCAATCCACGAGCCAGATATCTTCTCCTTTCCACTGTTAACTTAGTTTATCCATTCCCCTTTTTACTTTTTCAATTCGTCGTCTGGAACTCTACACACGCACTCTTTCACTCGAATGCACTTACACCATCCCTTCATGCTACCAAACACTTATTAATTTAAAGACTCATGTAAATAATCTACCCAAACACACACACTACCAATCATCTACCCAAACACAAACTGTCACTAATCTACCCAAACGCACACACTATCACTCATGTACCCAAAAACACACTATCACTAATCTAACCAAAAAAACACTATCACTCACCTAACCAAAAACACACTATCACTCATCTAACCAAAAACACACTATTACTAATCTAACCAAAAACACACTATCACTCATCTAACCAAAAACACACTATCACTAATCTAACCAAAAACACACTATCACTCATCTAACCAAAAACACACTATCACTCATCTAACCAAAAACACACTATCACTCATCTAACCAAAAACACACTATCACTCATCTAACCAAAAACACACTATCACTCATCTAACCAAAAACACACTATCACTCATCTAACCAAAAACACACTATCACTCATCCACCCAAATAAACACACTATCATTCACCGACAAAAACACTCATACTATCATTCATCTACCCAAATACATACACTATCATTCACCTACAAAAACACTCACACTATCACTCATCTACCAAAACACACGAACTACCACTCATCTACCCAAACACACACACTATCACTCATCTACCTAGACACACACACACACACACACACACACACACACACACACACACACACACACACACACACACACACACACACACACACACACACACACACACACACACACACACACACACACACACACACACATACACACATACACACAACACACACACACACACACACACACACACACACACACACACACACACACACACACACACACACACACACACACACACACACACACACACACACACACACACACAAACACACACACACCAACACTCGTCTCTCAAACACACTCCTTTATAAGCTATTATTCTCCCCCTAAAGGGCTAGTTCATGAATATGAACTATACAGCAACGTAGAGAAAAATGATCACCGAGCCATCTTTAAGAGGAGGCACTCCATTAAATCTTAAGTTCCATTACCAACAACAATACGGCTGCATTGACCTAATTTACCATCCGCTCGCTCTCCTGAAGCCTTTATGCAGAGTTTGAGCCCTACAGTACATTCTCTTCATTTGCCACAGTGTAAACAATCCAACGTTCTAAACTAACCAGAAATGCATTACCCCAAACCACCCATCCAACCTCACTAACTGATAAATAGAAAATGTGGGTTTTTGAGAGAAGCCACTTTTTATAGCACGTCGCATTTAGTATGTTGGTTACTTTTATGTAAAGTCAATATAGCTTTGTTTCATTTATTAAAGGAGTTTATGAGATATAGTTAGCAGTATAAGGCTGTTTATTATAAATAATAACATTGAGTTTTGACGTTTCTAAGCTCCTAAATTGTTTAATAAATGTATAAGAAACTGCCATGATTAAGTAAAAATGTATAGGTTTCGTAAATAGATACATAAATTCTTTATGAATCCTGGCCCTGGTTACTCAACATCTTATCGTAGTAGAGACATCAGGTAAAGCACTCTTATCACCCACTAGCTGGCTGTAGGACCACAGATATTGGTGAGGATTATATAGTAGCTTCAGAATTAGCTTTTATTCTGGCTGGAGATGTGACTATGTAAGTTAAAAACAAATCACTAAGATGTGCAATCACTAAGAAGACTCCATAGTCTCCTGAGACTGATGGATGCCTACTAAGATGTGCTAATCTCCTAAAAAAAGAAATGTCAAAAGAAAACTAGATATCCAACTCGGTTTTAAGAAAAATGTTGATCTGCAACCGATAAAAATATCAAGTGGTTGATATCCCAATAAAATAATATCAGCCTCCGGAAATATTACCATATGTGACAATTCGAGGAACCGAATGAGTCAAGTACAAAAAAATAGGGGAAGTTATAGGTTAGCAAGAGTGCTTAAGAAACAAATTATGAGGTCGGTGGTGCACAGCATGCCTTTGTGAAGCAAAATATAGCATCTGGAGACTAAATATTACCCCATTCAGGAAACCTGTTACCTCTGTAGCTGCCAGTGCTGCGGGTATGCCCAACCGTTTTGCTTCTCATTTAGGGTGTAAGATGCAAGTTAGGGTGCCAAGCTGCTGTCTTTTCCATGCTCCTTTCCCTTGCCGGGTCCCGCTTGTCTCCCTGTGATATCAGAAATAAGATAGCAGAAAATTGTTCCCTCCAAATATATTTGAAAAATTAAAAAAAAATCACGAAATACATTGTAATTAGAAGTGGATTTTAAAATCTTTATGCTGCAGGAAAATGTTAGATAAAGTTAAAAATATTAGATACAGATAACAAAGTCTAATTTGGCTCTGAAATTAATTGTTAAGGCAAATAGGTCGTAAAATGCAGCAATTTTTTTTTTTTAATTTCGAGCCTTTGTGACTACGATGAAAAATGTAATCGTTTAATCTACATCTCGTTAAAGCCATTAAAAAAAATTTGCTATCACGTTATGTTGCTATTTGATCTTCAACAGAAAGGGAGAAAAAGAGAGACATAGAGACAGAGCAAATGAAGAATGAAAAGAGGAAATATATAAAGAGTTCTTCGAGCATTAAAATGCGCATTGACTCGTTCGCTGTCCTTGAAGAAAATCAGATTCCACTCTCAGGGAGAGACTTACTGCTCAGCAGACCTTGATGAGGTTGACAAGCCCTGGAAAATCTACCGCAGCTCAACAGAAAACGAAACGTGAGCATCTGATCGATTTCAATCTTTGTTTACCTTTAACGCCGTAAGCTTCAGCTCTGGGAATCCCGACTCGTCGCATAGGTTGATACAAAGATGATTATCTGCTGGTATTAACGCTCAAAATAAGTCTCCAGAGAGATTCAGCGCTATGCTCTAATAGCCATGACAGGACGTGCGCCCCTCACCAGAATTTTCTATATTTTATTTGATGCCCAATAGCAGATCCCGACAGACATCCACACCGCCAATCAGGTTATTATAATAGAAGCGCAAAGCCCTTCTGGATACCATCCTGGGGTATGTAATGAGTCTCGTGCCACAGGCTGATGTGGCCGATCTAACCAAAGCCGTGAGAAAAGGTACAGAGGAGACATGACAACGATACTCAAGATTCTCCTGGGAGTTGATAAAATCTGTAAAAACTGTATATGTTTATTAGGAGAGATGGTAGAAATGAGCTCCTAAATAATAACTTGATGTGCAAGAGAACTTTCCTTAACGGAAGCTTAGTGAACAAATTGAA